TAGGCCAGTTATCTGCGCGAGCTTCAGAGACGAGTCGAGGGATACTTTGCGAGAGTAGTAGTAGGTTGGATCGAGGGCGGAGCGGGCGACCATGGGTTGATGAAGAGAGAGGAAGCAACGGTATGTGAACATTTGGACAAGAGAACTGTGGAAGTGGGTGAAGATTGTTCGCGGCTGGTGCCTCTGGGCTTCCGATAGAGCAGCAAGTGTCTCCGTTAACGTGCGGCATGCCTTTGTGAGTTCGGAGTTCAGCCGGAGTGTCTCGGCGTATGACTCCTTGGATCTAAATTCATTGACGTGCTTGATAATGACGAGGCGAAGAGCAAAGGACTTTTGAAGCGCGAGCTGGACTGACATATCAGTCAGAGTCTCGGGGTCGCCAGTTGGTCTTCTATCTGAGTCTGGCTCGTCTGTGAGTTGGTCGTCGTTCAAATTTGCTGGGGGGCGTGTATCGTAGTGTTTCGAGGAGAGGAGAGGGGGGCCTCCAGCATCGTAGGAACATTGTAGATTGAGCTCGAGGATGGTTGCCCAGAGTCGGCGACGAATCTCGGAACGGTAGACGGACATGTTACCAAGGTGCCTTGGGTCCCGATGCAATCCCATGTACATAGCCTGTCTGACAAGACTCCCTGCCGAAACCCAGGTAAGGTCCTGACCAACCGCACAACACGCTTTGGCGATGACCAGCATACACATGATCTGAATACCAGCGATAGTCATTCTACTCTTCGCAGGTGGTACCACAAGCCAGATCTGGGCCTCATGGACCCATTGCATTGAAGTTGCACGCAAGCTGAAGACATCATCGTGTAGAGTTGCTCCGATGGCCATGCATAACTGAAGCTGAATCAGGAAAACCTGACTCGAGGCTTCAGGATTCTGCCAGTAGCGCTCATACTCGGACATGAAGGTTGGACGGTGAAGAATCCGAACCACACCCTCGAAGGTGTCAAAATAGGCATTAACAAGCTGATCAGCAAGGCCACGCTCAGGAATATTTTCGCCCAACTTGTCAGTCGACACAGCTTTGGAACGATTTGCTTTTATGGTGCGGCCCAGAGCTTTGCATTTGACAAAACCACCGTGATGCTGATTCCTGCGAGTCTCCGCTTCTTTGAGCATATCAAAAACACCGGGAAACTATAAGATCTGGTTAGGAAGAAGATTCTGTCCCGTAAAATGGACTACTGACCATATGAATGCCGTTCATCCAGTGACTTTGACCAAAGAATCTCGTCTTAGAGACAGTCCCCTTCATAGGAGCCGACTCCGCTTCCTGGTCATCGGGCTGTATAAACTTGTCTGCTGCTGGTTGTGTGATGTAACAAGACTCGGCTAGCTTCTGCTCCAGCTCCTTGACCCTCGCGGCCAGGGCATCAACGGTGGAGGCTTCTGAGTTGGATCCTACTGTTGAGCTCGGGATGCTAGAAGACTTTTGTCTTGCAGATGAGTTTGATGGAGACTGTCTCTGGGTAGACCCAATGGCTGGGGCGGACCTGGCCGGCACCTGGGAGTTTAAGTCTGAAGCACCAGCATGACCTGTGCCTTTCTTGGCACGTGAAGCTGGTATGTGAGTCGGGGCATAAGTGCAAGGTGATATCTTAGATTTGACGCAGTTCACACAAGGTAGACTACGGTCACATCGAATCTTGCGGCGCCGGCATTGCTCACACGAGAGGGCCGGCCGGCGCCGCTTCTTCTCCGTCTTGGCGGCCGAAGACACAGTTCCACCACCGGCGGTTGCAGTCTCGGCCGGCAGATCAAAGGAAGTGTCCTGCAGATCTGTCGCTTCTGTAAGGGTCTCCTGACTTACATCCAGCGGACTATTAAAGAAGAAGCTGGGGGTTGAGAGTGTGATTGGGGATGAATTGCCGGGCATACTTGATAGATCGAGCTCAAAGGACTCGGCCAAGAAGAATGAGGAAAAAACAGCGAGACACGGCAAATTCAACAATGCGAACAGTCTGGAGAAAAGTCGTATCTTGAAGTATATGTCTGTGATACAATAATGGCGGGCAGTATCAATCGGTGGAGATGCAAAAGGCCGAGCCAAAAGACCGAGATTCTATAAGTGACAGTGATGTGAGCTAACCCTATAGGGCAATGACAATGATCCCCCAGCAGTTGCTGATGCAGAAGCAGGCAATTCCTGCTGATTATTAGTGTGGATTTTAAATGATTCTAGATTGTCGGAGTAAGATTCGGTGGAGGGTTGGTCCGATTACTATATAATGCTCGGACATACGTGGACATTGAGGATTTAAGACGTCAACTCTTCAGTGCAATGACTACGGAGTACGGCATCGGACTTATCTTATCAATCAAGATTTGGGATATCGATTCATGCGAGTTAATGTGTTAGTCTACCTGTCTACGTCTCGAGTACTTCTGTGTAGGATACGCAAAGTCCACGCATCATGATTCATCATCACCTTCACCATCACCACCAGCCTCGTCTTTCTCTAGCCATCCCTCTCTGGGCTTTGCCGCTTTGGCTAATAGGTTCCTCGTCACTTCTAATCGAAATATTTGGGGCCCAGTTTCTTCATCGCTCTTGCGATGCGCCTCCACCCAAGTTCGGATTTGCCCTCGGACTTCCTTGTTGCTCGTAACTGTAGTCAGGCTAGCCGCCCACCCGTACATGAAGATAGACAGCTTGGAGCTCTTGAAGCCGCTACTCAAAGCCACGTCATGGGCGACCTGAGGAAGGCTCCCGTTGGAAATACCACTATCAATGGCTTGCATATCCCATGCTTCGTCGATTACAGAAACAGGTATCTGGATATCAGGTGGTAAGCTGTAAATAGTGAGTTGCTGAAAACGCTGCCGCGTAAGGTCCGATGATGTTTGTTTCACCTCGTCACCCCAGGGTACCAACAACCTCCCTCGCTCGCGCTCAGTCTCGGTGCCAACAGTTCGAAGTACATCGTGAAAATGATCCGCTGCCTCACGGGTACATACGAGCTTGCGGTCTGCTAACACTGGGTACAGCACACGAGACATGAGACCCCCTTCGTGAGCGTTTTCCTCGTCTATCTGGGCACGCGTCGTACGCGACTGCCACGGTTGGGGTTCAAGTCTGAGGTGAGTCAAGTCGGAAATAAGATCGATGAGGATGGTGTGATCAAGGTTGATGGTGGATGTGAGTGATGCAAGCTCATTGCCAACCAGATTGTCAATAGCTTCATCAAGCGGAGGAGGGGATGCTGCGGCAAAGTCGCTATCCCGATCTTCAATGATGACTTTGACCAATGGATCGATGTGTTCTAGTTGATCAAGGACTATGTCAAGCTCCATATCACCTCGACTAAGACCAGTCAGAACCAGACGTATTTGAGGGAATCTGTATTCATGACGATTCATTCTCGCAGCATTTACCAGCCGCTGTACGTATTTTGCCAAAGGGGTATCCTCCCACTCATCCCGGTCGACTTCATCACCGAGTTCATGGTCACCCCATCCCCAGCCGCTATCGTTCAATTGGCGAGCGAGTCTATCGCGAGAGATGGCTTTAGCAGCAATCCATTCTCGTCCTTCTTGAACAACATCGACCTCAACGCGAGCTTGTTCTTTTAGGAGTCGGTGCAGGTTGTGTTTCTCCTGCCCTGAGACCTGTCGTTTTTGGATCTCCCGTTTTCGTAAATCCTTTGACGAGCCTTGAAAGGACTGATTTACAGCAACGAAGCTATGGCTTTTCTTAAGACGGTTCCACTGAGCAATGCCCTGCGTCGTCGTAGTGGCACTCGCATCAAGCTTCTGTTCTCGCTTTGTAAGTTGCAAATCATCAAGACTTGTACTTGAGGCTGATAGCTCAGTGACAAGGTTTGATAATGTTGCATTTTCCCGTTCCAATGTGCGTAAGAAAGTTGGCAAGCCAGATGTAGATCTAGATTTCAATTGCAGAGCTTGAATGAACTGCTTGACTTCATGTATGGTAGTGTCGAGCAGAGTCAAGTGTCTTTTTGCCGAATCGAGCAGTGTCTGTTCCATTTCGCTGACTGGCAACTTATTCAGAGACTTCAGAGTTGGGTCTAGGGGAGGCAAGAAAACTTGTGTGACAAAAAAGCTTAGGTAAGCTTAGGATAGACCCAGGCAAATTTGATAGCCACTTAGTAGGTCTTTAGAATGCTTATTTTTGGCACCCATGTTAGATGCCGAAGTTTTTTTGGCTCATTAAGGAATGTCTTTTCATAAGGTTGGCTCATATACTCCGCAGACCTGCAGACTTTGAATAAGCTGTAATCGACTGTTGGCATACGCCTCGAACGGAAATACAAACTATAGAGGAATTAATCTTTTGTGAGGGAAGTTCTATTATCGTTCATTTAAAGCCCTGTCGAGATCTCCCAGATATGTGAAACTTATTAGGCAACACAGCAAAAATAGTTCTATATCTGTCTCCATGAATCTTTTTCCTGCAGCTTAACGACACTAAGGCAATTAGGCATTCACTCAGCCACATGTGGCTACTATACTAAAATGACTTAGAATATTTGTACCGGTACCTGTCTGAGAAGACACTACATCCATTCTTGGCCGCTAATTGGCGGGCAGCTTACGAGGCCTTCCCTGGGCTAGGGGTCCCGTAGTTAGAGCTCATTTTCGGGAAGCGGAGCCTCTGGAAACGCTGTCCACTTTGATTTCGTACCCCTGGTACTGCACTTGTTACAGTGTAATAGCTTTGCGAAGGGTTAGAAGCTGACAACAACACCAAGACACGGGTTATTCCTCTTCTCCCATCATTTTTGTTGGCTTCTGCCCAATCTGTATACCCCAAGCCGTAATTGACTTGTCATACAGTTCAATCTGTGGGCTGCGCCGAGACTTTAAAGGTTACGTTGGAGGCACGTTAACTTAGCTCCCTCTCCCGCGGCGCCCACGTCTCCTTTCTTTAATTGCCTTGGGAGCGACATCAACTGACAACCTCTCTCCTTCGACTTCAATCTTCTCGACTCTCTGCACCCTAAGCGAATGGCCACTGGCCTTTTTTGCGCTCCCCCATGAGCTCCCTCAAATTTGTAGTGTCCTCACTTGAGGCCATTGCCTCGTCCAAGGATGCTCAGCGCAACAAGCAATTGGCCGATTCTACTACCAAAGCACTTGACGCCATCAAAGAACAGGACCAGCTTCCTGATCCCGAGATCGTTTTCGCTCCTCTACAGCTAGCCTCACGGTCCACAAATGTCCAGCTTACTACGACCGCACTCGATTGCATCGGCAAGCTCATCTCATACTCGTACTTTTCCGTTCCAAGTAACCCCCCCGAGGGAACCGAAGAGGGTGCCGAACCTGTCCCTCCCCTGATCGAGCGAGCGATTGATACGATATGCAATTGCTTCCAAGGCGAAACGACTGCTGTTGAGATCCAGCTTCAGATTGTCAAGTCCCTACTTGCCGCCGTTCTCAATGATAAAATCGTCGTTCATGGCGCTGGTCTCCTCAAGGCCGTCCGCCAAGTGTATAATGTCTTTTTGTTGTCGCGGAGCACGGCCAACCAGCAGGTTGCTCAAGGGACCTTGACCCAGATGGTCGGTACCGTTTTTGAACGAGTCAAGACGAGATTACATATGAAGGAGGCTCGCCTGAACCTGGAGCATCTCAAGCATGGAGCCAGCAATGCCACGTTCGACCAGGCCGATACCCCCAACGGTGCCAATGACAGTAACGACCGCGACGAATCACCATCTGAGCACTCCGAAGCTGTGAATGCATCGACCGAACCTCCCGAGAGTGGCGCCAAGCTTACATTGAAAGATCTCGAGCATCGCAAGAGCTTCGATGACTCGAACCTGGGCGACGGTCCTACCATGGTAACGAGACTTCAACCCGAGCGCAGGGAAACAGGTACCCCGGTCTCTGATCAGGCTGGCCAGGAGTCTTCACCTCCGGAGGATGGCGAGGTGTTGGACGCCGAGGACGAGGTCTACATCCGTGATGCTTACCTCGTCTTTCGATCCTTTTGCAACCTGTCAACCAAGGTTCTGCCACCTGACCAGCTTTACGACGTCCGTGGCCAGCCAATGCGCTCCAAACTCATTTCTCTTCACCTCATTCACACCCTTCTTAACAACAACATTGCAGTTTTCACCTCTCCCTTTTGTACTATCAAGAATTCAAAAAGCGGCGAGCCTACGAGTTTTCTTCAGGCTATCAAGTTCTATCTTTGTCTGAGTATAACCCGCAACGGTGCCAGCTCTGTGGACCGAATATTCAGTGTTAGCAGCGAGATCTTCTGGCTGATGATCAAATATATGCGCGCCGACTTCAAGGTAAGACTGATACACGCGCATAAAAGATGAGATGACTTACAAGGATGACAGAAAGAAATCGAGGTATTCTTGAATGAAATCTACTTAGCACTGCTTGCGCGAAGGACTGCGCCTCTTTCTCAAAAGTTGCAGTTTGTTACAATTCTGAACAGATTATGCGCTGATCCTAAAGCGCTTGTTGAAATTTACCTTAATTACGACTGTGATCAGACAGTCGATAATATTTACCAAACTATCATCGAAGACCTATCAAAGTTTTCCACTACTCCGCTTACTATTACTACAATCAACGAACAAGTCTATGAAGAGATGCGACTGAAGACAACACCTGCGAGCGAGTGGCAGCTCAAGGCAACACTCCCGCCCCCTCTGACCGTTGCTCATATTGCTCCTCATCAGGAAGCCGAACCTGACTATCCTAAAGAGTATGCAATCAAGCGCCTATCTATCGAAGCTTTAGTTGAGACTTTACGATCAATGGTGAACTGGTCGGCACCTATACGAGGTGATCCAGAACCTCCACGTTCCGAAAACCACGATCCCAAGGGTTCTCTGGATCTTCGACCGTCAATTGATCCAAGCATCAATGACAGCATCTCTCGTGTCGAAACTCCTCTACCACCATCAACCCCTATATTGGAGGATGACCCGGATCAGTTGGAGAAGGAAAAAGCAAGGAAGACGGCGCTGATGAAAGGTATTAACCAATTCAATTTCAAGCCGAAGAAGGGTATCCAGATGCTTCTGCGTGATGGTTTCATCCCAAGCGACAGCCCGAAGGATATTGCTGAATTCTTGATAAAGGAGGACAAGCTCGATAAGGCCCAAATCGGCGAGTACCTGGGTGAAGGTGATCAAAAGAACATTGACATCATGCACGCATTTGTCGATACCATGGAGTTTGCCAAGAGAAGATTTGTTGATTCTTTGCGCCAATTCCTCCAATCCTTCCGCCTGCCCGGTGAAGCTCAGAAGATCGATCGATTCATGCTGAAATTTGCGGAACGTTACGTTCTCGGAAACCCAAATGCCTTTGCTAATGCAGACACTGCATACGTGCTGGCCTATTCAGTCATCTTGCTCAACACTGACTTGCATAGCGTCAAGATCGCCAAGCGCATGAGCAAGGAGGAATTTATCAAGAACAACCGCGGTATTAACGACAATGCTGATTTACCCGATGACTATCTCCTCGGCATCTATGACGAAATCGCCGCCAACGAGATCGTCCTGAAGAGTGAACGTGACGCTGCCGCAGCGGCTGGCAATACTCCCGCCCCATCAACCGGTATCGCTGCTGGTCTTGGTCAAGCTCTCTCTAACGTGGGCCGTGATTTGCAGCGTGAGGCCTATATGCAACAATCTGAGGAAATTGCTCTGCGTTCTGAGCAGCTCTTCAAGGATCTGTTCAAGAGCCAACGCCGCAAAGCTGGCACAAAGTACATACTTGCAACGTCGTTCAAACATGTCAGCCCCATGTTTAACGTCACCTGGATGTCAATCTTCTCTACACTCTCAAGCCAGATCCAGAAGTCTCACAATCTTGAAGTCAACAAGCTGTGTCTAGAGGGTATGAAGCTCGCCACTCAAATTGCTTGCCTCTTTGATCTATCTACACCCAGGGAAGCTTTCATGTCGGCCTTGAAAAACACAACGAACTTGAACAACCCACAAGAAATGTTAGCCAAGAATATTGAGGCACTCAAGGTCGTTCTCGAGCTAGGACAGACTGAGGGCAACGTCCTTCGTGAGTCATGGAAGGACATCTTAATGTGTATCAGCCAGCTCGATCGACTTCAACTCATCTCCGGTGGAGTCGACGAGAGTGCTGTACCTGATGTGTCCAAAGCTCGTTTCCTGCCACCGCAGAGGTCAGAGACCTCTGATTCTCGCTCTTCATCAAACTCCAAGAAAACCACACGAGCCAGAGCAGGAACTGCATCCAAGGGCTTCTCCACCGAGATTGCCCTGGAGAGTCGGTCAGATGAGGTGATTCGCAGCGTCGACCGCATCTTCACCAATACAGCAACGCTTACCGGCGAGTCCATGGTTTACTTTGCCAGAGCTTTGACAGAAGTCAGTTGGGATGAGATCAAGGTGTCCGGTTCCAACGACTCACCTCGTACATACAGCTTGCAAAAGATTGTCGAAATCAGCTATTACAACATGAACCGTGTGAGATTCGAATGGAGCAACATTTGGGAGGTTTTTGGTGAGCACTTCAACCGTGTTGGATGCCACAATAACATGAACATTGTGTTCTTCGCTCTCGATTCTCTACGCCAGCTGTCAATGAGATTCATGGAGATCGAAGAGCTGGCTGGTTTTAAGTTCCAGAAAGATTTCCTGAAGCCTTTTGAGCATGTCCTTGCCAACTCACACAATGTGACTGTCAAAGATATGGTTCTCAGATGTCTGATACAAATGATTCAGGCCCGTGGAGATAATATCCGATCAGGCTGGCGGACCATGTTTGGTGTTTTCACAGTTGCTGCTCGTGACCCTCATGAGAGCATTGTCACTTTGGCCTACGAAAACGTCAACCAGGTGTACAAAACCAAGTTTGGAGTCGTCATTTCCCAGGGCGCCTTTACCGATCTGATCGTATGCTTGACGGAGTTCTCCAAGAACCTCAAGTTTCAGAAGAAGAGCTTGGCAGCATTGGAACTATTGAAATCTCTGATTCCTACTATGCTCAAGACACCCGAATGTCCATTGTCGCAAAAATACAACAATATCCCGCCTCCAGATGGAGCCATACAGAATTCCGAAAAGCGATCCAGATCAAACACATCTGTTGAGGAGGGTTACTGGTTCCCTGTTCTCTTCGCCTTCCATGACGTTCTCATGACTGGAGAAGACTTGGAAGTGCGATCAAATGCTTTGGAATACTTCTTTGAGACTCTGCTCAAGTATGGTGGCACTTTCCCGTCAGAGTTCTGGGATATTCTGTGGCGCCAACAACTCTATCCTATTTTCATGGTGTTGAGGTCTCGGCCAGAGATGTCTAATGTCCTCAACCATGAAGAATTGTCAGTATGGCTATCGACCACTATGATCCAGGCTCTGCGGAACATGATCACTCTCTTCACACATTACTTCGATGCCCTGGAATACATGTTGGACAGATTCCTGGAGCTCCTGGCGCTTTGTATCTGTCAGGAGAATGACACAATTTCGCGAATCGGAAGCAATTGCCTTCAACAGCTGATCCTCAAGAATGTGACCAAGTTCAAGCCCGAACATTGGAATAAGCTTGTTGGTGCTTTCGTCGAGCTCTTTGAGCGAACTACCGCGTACCAACTCTTCACTGCCACTGCAATCAACAACACGGCTTCCATATCACCGCCACCAAATGGCCTCGAGTTCTCGTCAACTGCTTCGGCAACCACGCCTATGGATGAGACATCCCTCAAAATCAACGGCAAAGAGGAGTTGGAAGATGATCACAGTGTTCCACCCCCGTCAGCTGAAGATGAGCTCCAGACACCGACGGCTGACGCTCCCCATATCGCCCTCGAAGAGTTTAAACCATCTTCCAACCTTCAGCAACAGCCTGTAGTGGTTACAGCGGCTCGAAGACGATTCTTCAACCGAATTATCTCTCGTTGTGTGTTGCAGCTCTTGATGATCGAAACGGTCAATGAGTTGTTCAGCAACGACACTGTCTACGCACATATTCCCTCCGCAGAGCTTCTTCGACTCATGACTCTACTCAAGCGGTCTTTCCAGTTTGCCCGCCGCTTTAACGAGGACAAGGAATTGCGCATGCGACTCTGGCGTGAAGGTTTCATGAAGCAGCCTCCCAACCTTCTGAAGCAAGAGAGTGGCTCGGCAGCCACTTACATCTCTATTCTGTTCCGTATGTTTGCAGATAATGCGCCTGAGCGACTGGAGAGCCGGCCTGCTGTGGAGGACGCGTTAGTGCCCCTTTGCAAGGATATTGTTCACGGATACACTACTCTCGAAGAGGAGAGCCAGCATCGCAATATCGTTGCATGGCGGCCCGTAGTCGTCGATGTTTTAGAAGGCTTTGTCACATTCCCTGAGGATGCTTTCAAGAAACACATCCCCGATTTCTATCCTCTCGCGGTTGAACTTCTCACCAAGGACCTTACCGCAGATTTGCGATCATCACTCCTCCTAGTCCTGCGACGAGTTGGAGAGGTTGGCCTGGGTATCGAGGGCATGACACAAGCGAGACAACGGCGAGACAGCGAAGTCAGCAGAGCCACGGCAGAACCGGTTAGCGACCGAGAGGCGGACGCAAGGAGAATGCTTTAGGATGAGCGCCCTCCACGGTTATTGACGGCGAGGAGAAGCAGGGCGTTGGATGGATTATTAGAGAATGTTGGTTTTCATGACGTTGTTCTAGATGCCCCGGGCTATCCCATGCGGCGATAGGCCGGCCTGGGAATTTGTATTATGAATTGTATCGGGATGTGACAATATACATGTATGTATTCAAACCCATCCCATCAGTGCTGGCCATTATTTGATTGTGGGCATTAAGAGCTTAGAATAACTCGGCAATTTAATACTAAATTTAGTACAAGATTAACCTAAAGTTAAGGCAAGTATTTCATTATACAGTGTATGAAATCTACCCTACAAACGTAAGGAGATAAAAGTTTGATATCTTTTTATTGATATGTTGATCTCCAGTACTTAGGTAGGACAACTGGCCTCTCCTTACTTCTATATTCTTTCTTTCTTTTGTTCCTAAGCTCCGTCGAGATCAAACTGCACCTAGTCGAGGATTCGACTGATGTAACTAGCCAATGGTTCTGCCTCCTCCTGTATGGTCCGATCTGGAAGCGTCCTCAACACCTGCTTCAGTTCCTGATCTTGTGAAGTCGCCGCCTTGACAACATTTCGCACAATAGCATCCTTATCCGCCGAATCTCCTGCAATTCTCATGATGCTCACGAATGATTCGTAAAAAACGATGAGAGTTTGATGCATGAGCACATCGCTTGTGTCCACCATGTTCAGTGCTGCCCATTGAAGTAGTCCATGCCCGATGAACTCATCGGCGTACTCGGGAAGAGGGAACAGGTCTGGGAATGGGGATATGGCCATGGCACGTGGATGAAGCGCAGTAAGACGGGGAATGAGTCGAAGAAGGCGATCTTGAGCAAAAGTTGCTTGGCGGTTGATGATCGCAGGACGGCATAGTGAGACGATGAGTTCGAGGTAATGGCGATCCCATATCACAAGACGCCAGAGACTGGCGTGGCCAGGAATACGGCGCTTGATGAGCTGTGTTTCTGGTGGGCTGGTACCATTCACGCCGTTGGACATGGTTGTTTCAGGAATGATGTCGCAATCCGTCTCTAGCAAACTGCCCAGCACTCTAGTAGATCGTCCACCGACATCTGCATCTGGAGAGCTCAGCCATATCCGAAGGAGCTCCTCGACGACCTCTGGCAACGAAGCCAGGCAATCAACCTCTGCAGGACTGGAGGCAGCCTTCTGAATGATGTTGAGAGCAAGTAAATTTGCCCCAGGAAGCGGTGATTGGAGAGCAGAAACAAGAGACTCTGCACCGCCGAGCGATAGACACTGTGTGAAGGAGAAGGGAGAAAGAAGCTTGGTGGTCAGAGAGAAGACGACGCTGAGGCTTGTAGGATCTTGAGTGGTGGTCTTGAGGAGAGACATAAGCGGAGGGAGTAGAGTTGGCTGAATGATGGGGATGTTTGAAGCTGTAGTCAGTCAGCGCCTAGAGCATCTGAGTTGTGGATGATTCTTTACGTGTGAGTTGAAGCTCAACATCGTCAAAGAGCTTGTTATTCAGTGGTGCCGATTCATTTCCTGGCTCATGAAGTTCAGTGAGATGTGCCAGTAATTCTGCCAGGCCAGTGACAAGAGCGCTGTCGCTGTTCTGGGGCACGACTCGCTCAGACATATTTTCTTTGTATGGTGTCAATGAATACACAGCGAGGTTGGCAAGGGTTGATTGTCGTTGTAGTTAAATGTCCGTGTAGGTGATTGCAATGGATGTAAGCTGCAAGCTCACTGGGGGGTACGTAGTCTAGGGAGCCTAAAGGGAACACCACGTAACATATCGACCGCTGAGAGATGCGTCTAGAATTTCTGTGGCTGCAAATCGAGGTGCAAACACTGAATGTACTGCAAATACATTTATGTTTTCATCCTCTAGCATAGTTGCTTCTGTAGAATAAAATGCAGTCATGCTCGTCAACTACATACATACAATCATCAACGGCTGCTCAGCGGGGCATCGTCATGGCGGAGAAATTCCGCCCTCTCTTTTTTCTGCCCAGCGCATTCTTCTAGAACTTAACTTACACCCCGCAAAAAATCATTCTGCGTCGAACCTCAATCACGAATAGTAACGTCAGCTCTATCGCTACAATCACAGTCAGCCCTACCCGACCCGCTATATAAACATCCCCTCGGCCTTTGAATCGGCTCTGAAACCTCGATAGAACCACCACATTCCACGCGCGCACTCCAATGTCTCGAGGTGGTCGAGGAGGTGGCCGCGGTGGACGCGGCGGCGGTAGAGGTGGAAGGCCTAATGTGCCCTGGGACACAGGCGATGAACCTGATGCGAGACCATCTGAGCTATTTCCCGTATGTCCTTGTCTTCTGTGCTCTATCTCTATCTCAAAGCCCAAGAAATGTGACTCAGTGTGACACATCGCTGACTTGCAAACAGCCATACCTCGTCCCTACTCCCCGAGAACTCGCCTCGCACGAAAAAGCAGCTGTACAACATTATCTTCTACTACGGCATCAAGTCCACGCCTCTCCTCTATACACGTCCAAACGCACAGCTCTCAACGATCCAACAGCACCCCGGAAACACTACGGCCAGGCACAGAAGAATGCCCGCTTCGGCATCAAGAGCAAGGCCTCCTTAGACCCCTTTACAGCCGTGCCTACCTACTCCCATAAGTTCGTTCGCGAGGAGCGTGCTCTTCCAGATTGGTCCAACCGTCCAGTGTGTCGCGAGCTCTTCCCCATGGAACTCTACGAAACCATCGACGCTGCATCTGCCAACGACGGTGGCCTTCCCGGCGGTTTCAAGCGCCGGAAGTTGGAGCTCAGTAGCGTTAGCGCGCTTCCTAGTGCCGAGGAAGCTTTTGGTATGGGAGGTGATGGCGAAGACGAGATGCAGGGCCGTAATCTCCTTGAGCGGTTACAGGCGCTCAAGGAGGAAGAAGGCGACGAAGCTGGCGATCTTGAGGATGAAGAAGGCATGGAAGAGGAAGAGCAGGATGAAGTTTACGACGACGAAGATGCGGGCGATTATGACGCCGAGAATTACTTTGATGGTGGTGACGAGTTTGACGACTATGGCGATGATGGCGGTGATGGAGAAGGGACTTACTAGTTGGTCGCCAAATGCTTTCACAAGGATAACAAAAAAGAGTATTTTGGAGAGGGCACAGCGATCATTTGTATATGTATATATATATATATCACGGCATAGCATTGGTTTGATACCCAAGTCCGCGATCTTCGTGGTCGTGGCAAATAATGAACTTGACATATTTGGATCAACCCTGCGATGTTGGTCTCGTATCCCTATGAAGCTCGAAGCATTGAAATGTCTAAGAGAATTTGGGTATCTTCAGATATTCCTCGAACTTCCCCCTTCGGTTCTCAGTGACATCAGCAGCTTTTTCTTTTGTCGAGTAATATTCATACATGTCGTAAGGTTGTATCCTCACTAAATATTCTGCTACAGTTGACAACCCCGTATCCCTCGCTTCGCCCAAATAATGCTTCTATGGCCCTTTGTCTTCAAACATGAAACGGACTCTTGCAATGTCCAACAGACTGGTATTACCGCAGCGCATCCCTCTCCTTATCATTTATGCCGCCGTCCTCTACGCATTCATGCCCATGGCGTACACTCCACTGTCCACAATCCCAGCCTGGAGGCGCGATAGCCGTTCTCGAGTGTCGGCAATCTGTCCGGCCTGGGCAACAATCGCGCTTCCCGTATCCCTGAGTGCCAATAAAACCTCGTTCAGTTGATCCTGGACCACTAAGCTGCCTGCGCTACGGTCCCGTAGAGCTCGGATCTGCTCATAAAGGCCGTTCTCGACACCAGGCATATCTCGCTCAATATCGCCGCGATATTCATCGAGACGAGCCTTGTACTTTTCAATATCGTCACAAATACGGTTGAAGTAGGTGATCAGATCTTGGGCATCCGCATGTGTCGAAGCAGCATCTGCACCCCCGGAATCAGCAGCTGGAGCCTGGCTGGCGAAAAGACCTGTTTGGTGATAGTGTGTTGGGAGTTTGAGGTTATCGGCGCCTCGGAAGCATAGTCGGGCATCAGCGGCGTTCTTTCGGGTCTGGTCCTGGAGAGCCTTGACGGTCTGAATATCGTTGTTAAGGGCAACTTGAACAGTTCGGAACTTTGACTCGACAAACTTTACGTCTAAGCCCAGTTGCTCAATATCCTTCTCGTGTTGGGGCATGAACTCGCCAATCTCGTCTCGCATCTTGATAACTCGTTGTATACCCAAGTCCAGCAACGCAATTTCGTCTTGTACGGGCTTAGCGAGGTCATCGAAGCGGGTACGGGGACGGATGCTGTCGTAGTTGATTTGAACGGCTGAGACTTGGTTTGTGGATTGGCCTAGTGTGTTGTTCTGCTGAGGCTGTGTTTGGCCACTGCTGAAAATTAGTGACTGTCATGACAAGGAGCTCCAAGTAACTCACAACAGACTGGTACCTGTAGCGGGCTTCGCCTGAGATTGGCCGAAAAGCCCTCCTGTGTTGCTTTGTGTATTTGTTGCTGTGGATTGGCCGAACAGACCTGTGCCTGTTTGTTGAGGCTGCTGAGTTTGATTTTGGGCAGATTGGCCGAAGAGGCTGGTGCCAGTTGTTGTAGGTTGCGCAGTGGTTCCTAAATTTCCCCAGTGAGCTCCTGGTATTTGCGGCGTCTAACCAAACAGAGCAGTTCCAATCTGCTACTGACCTTGTTGTTGGGTGTTGTTGGTGGCAGTGTTGCCAAAGAGCCCAGTGCCTGTGCCCTGCGTCTGTTGAGTGTTTGTTGCGCCGGCAGCGCCAAAGAGACCACCGCCAGCTGCGGGCGTAGTTGTGGTCGCTGTCGTCGACTGTCCAAATAGACCGCCTGTTGCAGGCTTTTGCGCAGCGTTGCCAAAGAGAGACATGGTTCCAGTTGCGCCTGGCGCTGTTGTTGTGTTGGCGGTGGGCGTAGAGGTGGTAGAAGAACCGAAGAGACTACCAGCAGCGGAGGGCTTAGAAGCGGCGGTTCCGCTATAGAATTGATTGAGTGCGCCGGTTAGCAAGAAGAGGCCGACGAGGTTGTAGAGGAGAGGAATGTAACGAGCTGAGTTAGGATGGGTAGTGCTGAGTTAGGTGGATATGATGGATGGTGAATGATTGCTTTGTTAGAGGGTGGAGCTTACAAGGCGTTAGCAGCACCAGTGTTGATGCTTAAACCACCTGCTGGGCCGCTTGCTGAACGGATCAATGACATACTAAGGGGGGGGGAAAAGCCCTTTGATTGAATGCGACAGTGGCTACAAAGTTAATTTCACGCGATCTGCCCGTGTTTTGACGCCGCGACACGACAAAAAAGTCTCCAAGCTTCTTGGAGAATATGGCGCTTGGACCATTTTGGCATTCGGTGAGGCTCGGTGAGGCTCCCCGGAGCTACGGTGAGTCGACTCCCGGAGAAATGCGGCGCCGAGTGACCAATAGCTGCTTTATTGTGAGAGCTTGAGCTTGACGTCTTTGTACTTACATACAACTCTCGATATTGACCAATTCTAGTCGCAACTACTTAATTTTACACTTGCCAACCTCTTATTTCCAGAATCGCAAAGATGGATATCGACGACGATGATGATTTTTATGTGCCAGATGAGCCAAAGACCGAGACCGCAGCTCCAGAGGATAAGAAGCCAAAAGCAGATGATTTAGAAGAAGGCGAAGAAGAGGACGAGGGTGCTGCTATGGATGAGGATGATGACTCTGATGAGGATGACTCGGTATGCGATCTGTGCGACCCGTCTAATACACAGCAACTGACAAAAGTTTCTTAGGACATCGACATCATCACAGAGCGCAAAGATGGCACAAAACCAGCACCACCACAGTACGCTATACCTTCAAACGCCGGTTCTCAACGTTACTAACCAACTTTTCCAATTTCAGACAGTCCAAATATAGTGACATTCGAAACATCCCCCAAAGAACAGCTTCAAGCGATTTGCCAACACAACCTGCGCCAGCACGGAAGGACTCCGAATCACGACCATCGGTTAACGTTGCTGCGCCAAGCGCCGACAAGACATCTGCTGCAGCATCTAAATCAACAATCGACGTGAACGTAAACCCGATTCACCCTGGGACGGGCAAGCCTATCACCCAGGTCAATATTGACGAAGGTTAATAACACGGCCGATTGTTGTCGCGCAAATGCTAACGTGAGCAATTCAAGACCTCCCAGACAGCGACAAGCCATGGCGGAAACCCGGCACCGATATCAGCGACTACTTCAACTACGGCTTCGATGAGTTTACATGGGCGCTTTACGCTTCCAAGCAAGAGACCGTTCGGGGAGAATTCGGAGCCGATGTCTTTGCCCAAAACAACAAGAAGATGATGGAAGACTTCAACATGATGATGATGGGGGGCATGGGTATGCCAGGAGCCGGCAACGCGGGTGCTCAGCAAGGGGGAATGCCTGGTGGAATGGACGGTATGCCTCCTGAAATGCAAGCCATGATGCAGCAGATGATGGCATCAGGTATGGACCCGAGCCAAATGGATCCCAGTCAGATGAACGCCATGTTCTCTGGTATGCAAAATGCTGGAGGAGCGGGTGCACAAGGAGCACAGGGTGGCCAAGGGGGTAACTTTGGCGGTGGTTTCGGTGGCAATCAAGGTGGTTTTGGGTATGATCAAAACATGTCTGGGGGCGGAGGCGGAGGCGGCGGCCGGGGAGGATTTGGGGGTCGCGGACGTCGTGGGAGATGGTAATTGCCTCTCTCCGAAGCCGCCCCTTTCTGAATTTCCACAGACCAAAACTAATGGGCTTTGTCAATTTGTTAATGGGAGAACCTGGCGTTGGGGCATTTTGCCGATAGGCATGGGACCTTGATAGATTGGCTCTCTTCACGAGCCACCCAGAAGGACGAGTTATCACTGAGTGTAGGCTTGAATACACGTCTTGGACTTGTCTCTGTACCTGCAGATTATACCCAAAAAACTAGAAAGAAACTAGCTAAGCCTCACTTCAACGATCTTTGCTGGCTCTGTCTTTCCATCCACAGGCACTGCATTTGCCCCAGAAGTCGAAATGTACAGAACTCCCTCGTCCTCACCAAACACGCATGCTGTTGAGCCTGCAACATCAAAGGTCTTTGCTTCGCCCGCCACCACCACAGCCTTTCCGCCAGTAGCGGGGATTCGTACTACCGTGTTGGATATGTTGGTGCACACGTACATGGTCCCATCGCGAGCTAGAGCGAAATCATCCGCGACAAGTCCCGGGGCAAGCGTTTCAATGGGACCTTCAGCCTGGACTTGTTGCGTAACGGGTACACGGTATACACAGAAACGGCTTGTCGTTGTGTAATATACGTAAGTTTGCTCTGCGAAACGATGGACTTTGATACCATTAAGGCCAACTTGAAAAGGGGCATCAGCTGGAATTGTAAATGTGTCGTCTTCCAGGGTAACATTGTATGATCCTGTGGCAACACTGAGCTTGTATACTTTGCCATAGAGGCAATCTGTGATGAGTGCAGTGTTTTCATCCCATGTAGCTATGCCGTTGATCATGCCAATCTCAGGCATATCGGCTATCTTAGTCACCTTTGCCTGTTCGCCAGCGAGATCCGCGACCCAGATACTCCATGATCCTGGCTTGGACTTGGCACCTCCGAGCATGTCAAATGAGCCTGCAGCGACTGCAAAGACATCAGGTTTGAGACAGCAGATGCCCGTGAGTGCCGGGTTCGGGATGTCATCTGGGAGGAGGACGCGTAGGATCTTGGAACCAGTTGATTTCTCAGGATCAATCTCCCAGACCTCGGGGACATCAAGTCGAGTTGCCAAGATAGTTCCCCTTGGTCTGAGACTGATGTTTTCAAACCACGTTGGCTGGGAGTTGAGTTGGAAAATAGTTCGAGTATTGGACATATTTTGAGTTTTATGTCGCGAACAGCTTCTCGAAGTTCTAGCTCGTTCAGTCTGTCGTGTCTTTAAATATTGAGTTGCTGCATGTCACAATTAACTTTGCTTATTTGCTGGGTAAGAAGGTTGCCACATGTCTTATTATACAGTCAGCCCAAGTAAGACCTACGCGTAAGATGCAGGATTGATCACCATCGGTGGATATCAATTAACAATGATAGGAATATTTCCTTCAGGAGTCAACATAGCTTCCATAGTAATGAAGCCGGATATCGTTTGAAGAGCAGAGGACTATTACAGGCATGATGCATATGTATAGACTTCCATTCATAATGAGCCTTGACAATCACGGCAAATGGGTTCTTCCCCAGGTCTATATTTACAGTTAATTGTTGCTACTCTCCTTCCTCAGACCAGTCAAGGAAACTCAAATTGTGATACTCCGGATGGCGAGAATCTGACATAAAATGGATCTGGAAGGATTTGCAAGCTCTCGTTGCTGACCCAAATCATTTGTATGGCCAAGAAACTACGTGTCTTGCAACCCTTGGTGAGTGGTTTAGTCCGAATGCTCGTTATCTGTGATGAAATTGAATCCCTGTTTGATGACTAGATAGATGGCATGGAGTTTGAAGACAGGATGATATTTAACAGATCCACTGACCATCCAGCGTATACATGTATTGGTTCAAACCAAAGAGTATCTCATTGTCCTGGTGTCGATAAACGGCTCAGTTTATACATCACTTGTCCTGAATAGATCATCACAATTCATTCTGCAGGTTGGTAAATCTCTATAGGGCTCACAGCGAGCAATCCTCTTCCTACTAATCTAAGCGAATCTCAGTCTCTGAGTGAATCTGAAGTTCTGCTCACACCAAGCTTCAAGTTCCTTTCCATCAAAACGAGCTGAACCAGCCTCGTACACCACATCCCCATCGTTAAAGACACAGACATAGGACTTTCCATCAGCCACATTCAATCCCAGCGCATTGATAGAGACCTCCTGGTACTGCTTCTGACGTAAAACCGGCTCCAGGTTGGAATATTGACCCTTGAGATCGAATCTGAAGCGAGAATCCCGATACTGCGCAACCCAAGCGTCACCAACACCAAGCCAAAGACTGTTTACCGCAGATCGAACGGCGTCAGATGTCACTTGTAAGCCTTGACGGACAACGTCATGAGGGAGCTCCCATTTCTCAGTTCCATCGTCTACACGAGTGTAGAAAGTCTTATTAGGACCGAGGTATAGGAATGATGGCCGTTCGACATCATGTTCTGTGTAAAGATCTGCGATCTCCCCATAATCCTCAAGCTCAGAACTGTCTGCTTTTGGTGGTCAGTCAAGTCAATTGCAACAAAAGGGATACCACTTGCTTTTTGCGGCAATATTTCCTTCAGTATAACGACGACACTGGAAGAAGTGAGGATCGGGACCAAGAATGATGTATGTAGTCTTGTCCAGCCCCTTTCGATGATCAAAGTCAAGCTTTGGCTGACCTCCCATCCCTCTGTGAACTCGTCTTCCTCGCATGTCAGCAGTTATGATACTTTCAGTCTGTTGACTCACCCGTAACTTCTCGCTGGGCCACTGAAGAAGTAGCTCTCTCCTGCGAGGCTTACCGTGGCAGTTTCATGCGAGAAGTCTTCTCGCTGTGTTGGCCGACCGATAGAGGTACCGGGAATAGAATAGCTAGAGGACATCTTGTAAGGTTGTTACCCAGTAACTGAGTTGCAAGCCGGCTGGAACATCATGGGGAAATAGCCAGTATTTATAGACTTGCCGTGGTAGATATGCTAGTAAATATTATTGCCGTTGATTGCGGGCACCTACTGCTTTTCTTGTTTCATGAGGCTAGAGAATGGCTTTGCTACAGTCACAATGGTACTACAAGCGGCCTGTCAGACTCAAACGAGTTGTGAAAGGACCGACTGTGTCTGAATAGGGGCATATCGTGGGCGTCTTGATTTGGCGAGGTATCTCGTGTTTGCCGAGTGCATTTGCACGCCATAACTCCATTAACGCGTTGCAAACATTTCCTAAACTGGTCCATTCGATCTTTGTGATGTGATTATATTTGTTTTTGATTTTCTGTAGCAAGGAAGAATCGGCTTCCAGGGGGTATCGATGCAAACACACTCCTATACGCTGGGTATCTGTAACACATAGTTGTGCTCAAACCACCACCTCGCCGCCCAACCTGTTTTCGTTATCATAAAGAGGCGTTTCGAAAGATCTGCACTAGCTAGAGTCTCCGGATGGCTCCATGCCCACGTGTGTATAGTCAACAAACATGAAATTCTGGTTATGTCCCCAATCAAGCATTACCA